TAAACTCATATAAGTTAAATGTCATATACCCGAATATTTTCTTGAAAATGGTTTGGAAGATCTTTAGCAAACCTTTCGGAAAGTTTGAAATACAAAACAAAGCTAATTCCTTCGCCATCTGTTTCGCCTTGAAAAATTGCTGCAGGATATAAAGGTATCTGAGGGGAAAAAAAAGAAGCCCCAAGTCAATATTAAAGAAAAAACGATCAAACAAATAGTTATTAACGGTAATTAATTAATTAATTAATTGACAAAAGGGTTATACTTTAGTGTATTTTAGTACCTGAACATTTACAACCAGGATAGGCGGGAGTTTCCCTGAAGAATTTACAAAGGGAAGTTCCACAAACCGAGCAATGTGATTAATTTTCCTCGGAGATAAAAAAACATCGAGGCCAAATGGATAATACGCAGCAGAATTCGGAGCATGCTCTTTTCTCTTATCTCTACAAATAAACAAAGAATCTGTTAATGCAAGTGTGAGATTTCAATTTTTCCTTTTATATAAATATAATTTTTTTTTACCTGAAATAACTAACTCCTCTGACTCTGAAAGTCCCCGGCTCGATGTTCGACCAACTGTCGGGCACTCTTTTTCCTAAGGGACAGAAAGGCACTTGGGATCCGGCTATTGGCTTTTGTAGTAATGTCTTCGAAGAAACTGCAATGAGAGTACATAATTTTGAAAGTCTCGTGTCATATAAGAAGATATTTTCACAAATTTTCATCATTCATTTTTGCGAATTACTACAAATTAGCGCGATTCTTTTTGTCAAGTGTTCAGATCCCTTGATTTTACAACATATCCCTAGGATATTCTTAACATTGCAAATTGTCAAGTGTTAGATATCTTTTTTTTTTTTCCTNAGAACAAATGAAGAAGAATTAATTCCAGCAGCATAAATATTTGATCTTTTTTTTTGGGGGGAGGCTCTTTTTTTTGTCCAATAGCCAAACAACGAACTTAAAAACGATAAGTAAGAACGAAGAAAAACTGGCAAAGAAAAGAAAAAAATCGATGAGAAATAAAATCATAATACTCACATATGGCTGACATTTGATGTCCCTCCTTCCATTTAAACGGTATTTTCGAGGCAGATTTTCTCCTCCCATTTGTTGGGCTCGAGCTAAAAGACCTTCTCTTTTCAACCGAACCACCATTAATGGCTGAAGCCAGGCAAGGCAAACAGTTGCTCGGGATAACTCCACAGTTTCCCAACAAGTTATTCTCATCATCACGACTTAATGTTTCACCATTTGGACCCGAGCCCGATATCTCATCCGCATAAACGGGCTTTGGGCCAATAAGCGATTCTTCGGGTTTCGTTATGGATGTTGCATCTGAGCCACTTAGAGAGAGCATTTCTGTAATAATAAAGGGAAAAAAAATGATTTTGGAAGCCAAATCTAAAAGTTGAACTAGTTAACATAACACGGATAGTATTCGGTAGATAAGTTTGTTCAAAGTGCTGGTTTTTTTGGTATTAAATGTCAAACCAGAAGCAAAAATCATTTGGTCCCTTCTTTCGAACACACTATGAAGTTCGATTTTTTTTTCTTTTTTTTTTAAAGAAAAAAGTTTTGAACCATACCATCAGGTATACTTTGGTAGTCTTCATCACTCCAATCGGAATCTAGGATACCAGCTGATGAGTCGAACCATGTCTCCTCCACACTTTCTACAAATTGCCCGTGAAAAAATAAAAATAAAAACATGTAGAATAAATGAATAAATCAATCTGCGAAAAATCAGAGATCATTTCAGAATTTATGAAATACATTCAATGGCCTAAAAGAAAAATTGTGTTTGCCGTGGAGATTTATCATTCCACCAACAAAACTACAAAATTTGGAAAAAAATAAAATAAAAAAATAAAAAAAAATCTGTACAATCACACCAATTTTCTTGAATTCAACAATGAACATTGAGTTTGGTCTTAAATCATCTACCTAAAAAGTAGCTTAACTACCATTTAACAGCAAGATACATAAAAAAGGGCCGCAAAATGCCAAGTCATTCTACACCAATAGTTCATGTCATTTTGTCTGTTTTAGAATGGTGGTGAAAGTGATTACTTCCATCAAGTAATTAACAACATGTGAAGCTTCAAAACTAATGTTCTGCTCTTTTTTTACCCATCAAAACAATTGTCAATTCCTAAAATTCCAGTTTTCTAAAGCCTCAAAGCTACACAGACCCAAAAACCGTATACCATCGGGAGGTTTACGAACAATCCACATTAAACCGATAGAAAATGCTAACCAAATCAACAAAACAAAGATAGTTAAGTTAAACAAAACCTTGGAGGATCAGAATATAAAGACTTCAAAATCCAAATTCTTTTGATTTACAGTTGATCAAGTAGAAACCTAACAAGCCCAGCTTCCACATTTTCGAGTACAACCCACTTAAGAAAACATACACAACAATACATCAACATTCAACACTGAACAATACTAGTAAATTTTCACACTTAGATCACACAACCAAAATCAAGAACTCTAATCTTTCATCACCATTATCTACAAGCTCCATGCTCTAAACAAAGAACTCATCCCAAGCTTACAAACATATGAACCAACACACAAAATCACACGCGAACACGCATATACACAGAAAGATAGATAAACAAACCATGAAAAGTGGGATTATCAAAGGCACGATCCTCCGGCAAAGGAGTAAGCTTTTCGATTTCTATTCTACTGTCCGATGACAGATCAGACACGTGAGAGTGAGCCCTTTTCCTCAAAACCTTTCTTCTCCTCTTTCTATTCCTCTTCTTCCTCGACCCTCCGAATTTACCTCCCACGCAGTTCTCCGGACGAGAAACACACACCCCCATCTCAACACACACACACACAGAGACGGAGAAAAAAATAATAATAAAATCGAAAAGAGGCAAATTTTGAGAACGAGTAAACAGAGTAAAAAAAGAAAAAAGAAAAAATTGGCTGCAACTAATGTAAATGTAGAAAAAATTGGCTGCAACTAGATAGAGAAAAAGTGAAGCGGAGGAAAACCCCATCAACCTCCATCGCTATCTCGCTAGTACTTTTCTCTCTGTGTGTGTGTGTGTGCGCGTAAAATAGATAAAAATCTGATCTTTGGGCAATAGCTGCAACTAATTATTCAATCCCCACTAACTCTATGGAGATTCACAACTTGGTATGAATATAATATGGCTTAAACATGTGCGTGTAATGTGTGCGTGTGAAAAACTGAACGTGAATTTTCAGAGCTCCGGCTAAAGCTGGGAACTGTGAAAAGGTCAAATCTTGATAAATTGCGTTTTTTTTTAAAAACAAAAATTCTGCGTTCCTAAATATTATGGATGGGAGGACCCGGCGGACACGTGGCGGTCTACACGTTGGAATGTGGATTGCGGTTTCCGCACGTGCGTGCTTAAGAGCGTGCTTGCTTATAAAATATTTCATTTAAAATGAATTATTTTAATTAACTAAAGTTAATTTTAAAAAAGGTAGTATAATTAATTATTAGTGGAATTTTAATAATATATTAAAATAATATTTAAAATAAAATGATTATTAATGATTTGACGTAAGAGTAGGATATAAATGATTGAAAATGATAGGTAGTTAAAATTATGTGAGTGGATGAATAGTGAATTAAAGTTGATGTGATATGTAAGAATAATTGGTTTATAATATTTAATTATATAAATAATATAAATAATAGTGGAATTGAGTTAAAGTTGAGTTAGATTTTGAGTGTGAAATGAATTATTTCATAAACAAGTATGCCCTAACTTGTTTGTCACCAACTCGGATTTTATACCCAAAAACGAATTTCGAACCGAGTTATCTTAAAAAAAAATAAAAAGATAAAAAAACTCGATTATCTTCTTTCTAAAACTTCTTTCTAAAAAATCTCCATTATGTTATTTTTTGTAGTAATTGTTCTTGATTGTTTTTGGTTCATACTCTTTAATGTAAATGTACTAATCGAGGTTTAGAAGTCGGCCTAACCATTAAGTTGACATGCTTTTTTCACAAATATGTATAAATTTTTATTTAAAAAAATGTCATATTTTAAATACATCATAAATAAAATTATGACATTTGATTGTGTAAGTATTTATTTATGTAGTATATGATTCTGCATTCTTTTACTTGTTTTTAACTCAAAATTGTTTATTAAAGGTGTTTTCTCATGATTCAGTTACCTATCTTTTTGGTTTCTTCAAAGTTTGATATATAAATCTCAGCCCAATTATTTATGTGTACGTTTTCTTATTTCACTACTTATTTACCTATTGTTAATTTTATAGTTAAAAAAAACCATAAATATTTTTATTTCGTTGTTTTGGTTATTTGTTTATTCACGCTATCTCGACATTTATATAGTGGACTACACCTGTCTGTACTGATTGTGGAAATATTTATTTTTTCACCAACTTATAAGTTGATTTTCATTTTATCCATAAAAGCATGATAAAATTCTTAATTGGGAATGCATAAAAAAACACTCATTTTCCTTCCGCAGTAAAATTGAGTAAAAGTAATAGCTAAATGTGAGAACCAATAGTTAGTCAAAATTTGTTTATGTTTATGTAACAACAAATTTCGTGTATTGAATTTAAAAACACGAAAAATATTATTCAAATGAATTTCTCGAATCAAATAAATATAGCGGGTGTTCTTCTCAGAAACAATTTTAAGTCTTGGAGCGAAATCTTCGGCTTGATCTTTTCCTTGACTTGATTTGAATATGAAGGAGAACCCCTATTTATAGGTGTAGGAGGGAGAACCCTACCAAATTTAAGAATCGTATGAGGCAATTTGAGTAGTCCAAGATGATTCACATATCATCTTTTAGATCTACCTAGATCTCCAAGATCTTCTAGAAGACATAGATAAGGGCAAGGCAAGGAGGAGTTGAAGGAATAGGTCCTACCACAAGAATATTTTTTTTATTAGGGCGATAGCTCTGAAAAGACAAATTGCCTATTTATTGATCAAAAAGAGGAATCTACTTCAACCGATATGCAGATGAAGATGAAGAGAATAAGGATCCATGTAAACACTTGGCAATATTTGATTGGTCAATAATTAAAATATTAAAATATCAATTAATTAACTATTTAAAATTAGGAATTAAATATATGAGAATTCCTAAAATATAAATAGAAAATATGACTTGATTTTTAATAAAGTAATTTCCACGTGGCGCCATGTAATTGGACACAAATTTTATGTATCTACAGTTTATATGGACTTTCATTGGACATTGAGTGTCTTTTGATATAACTAATGAAATAGAGTTTGAATGTGTTTAGATGATCAAAAGATAAAAAACCAGATATTCGAATGAGATAAAAAAAATATATATATATTCAATTGAAACATTTAAACCTTCGATTAATTAACCTATTCAGTAGTACTTCAAACTAAATATTTATTTGATAACAATTTAATGTACTAAATTTATTGGAATGTACTCTTAAATGAAATCACTCACTAGTCAATCTGATATTTTTGAATTAAAACTCGTCCAAAACTCGTTTAGTTAGTGTACTGAGACCAACTCCACTCATTCACTTCACAAATATGAATATTTTCACATTGCTATGAACTTATAATTTAAGCTCGAATTTGATAAATGCATATAAAATAATAATCTTCTCTTGTTGCTGTTATTCAGAATTTGATATGTATCCAGCGGACAATAAAGAAAAGCCGTCTTTCATTAATTTATGATGACAATAATTTAGGCTTCAATGATTGGTCAATGCAGCTCAGGTGTACCTTTTATGGAACTATAAAATAATAAATACGTCATATTTTGCAACTATTTTGGTCGAAGAATTGCCTCAGCTTTTTAGTTTGTGGTCCGTAAACCCAGCTTTTTTCTTTAAGAACATAATATTTCTGACACATTAATTCAATACGTACGATAAAAATGTCAATTAAAATGTAAAAAAATTAAAATGTCATTTATTCATGTAACAAAATTTCATAGATCTTAATCGGTATTTGAGTTAGTTTAATTTATAAGACATCTCACAATTCGGGCCAAGAAATGATCAAACAAGAATAATTTTGATTGCCACATCACCTCCCACTAATTGTAATAGCATTTATCAGCATTTTTTCGGGCAAAAGGGGAGAAAATGATTCAAATTGTGAACTATAATTAATTAATTATATAGTGGTCCTAACTTGTAAATATATTTTTTCAATATATTATTATCCTATAAATTAAATAGGTTTGTGTGATGTAGTACCTTGCCTTGTACTTTATACTAGAAGCAATACAATACCCATATAATATGTTATAATATATAGTGTTAATTAAAAAAATTGTACATAATTTTTTATATATAAGACTAAAGTTAAATCTTAAATTTTAAATACTTATAAAAAGTTACATTTTTATTTTGTTCGTCTATATTATAATAAAGTTTCTAATTCATTATATAGTAAGCTTTGATATATATATACATGTCATGTTAATAATTTTATTATTTATTAATTAATTTGTCAAAAAAAAAAAAATTCAACATTTTAATTCAACCACTTTTTTTAAATCAACTTCAATTCAACCCCACTATCATCAAAATTATCAATATAATTAAATAATATCAATCAATCGTTCATACACACTACATTAATTTTAATTTACTATTCATCCACTCACATTATTTTAACTAACCATCACTTCAAATCTCTCTCCTACTTTTACATTAAATCAATTTTAATTATTTTGTTTTAAATATTATTTTAATATACCCACTAACAACTAACCATACCATCTTTTTCAAAATTAACCAAACCAAATCAAAAATCCAAACAAAACCAAAAAAAATTATAAACAAACATGCTCGTAGCTTATCTATACAAAAACAGATATAATTAATTTTTAGTATACAATATAAATTAAAAATCGCGAAACAGGATTAATGAAATATGTCAAATGTAAAAATATAATAACTAAAATTGTTAAGTTTTAATATATATATATATAATTAATTATATAATTTTAAAAATTATAATATGGATATATAAAAGCTTATATATATATATACACACACACATATAATCGAATATGTAAAAATTGAAAAAAGATAATTATAAAATACAAAATATGCATACATAAAAATAAAATATACTAGAGATTGATACTTACCTATAATTTTACATGGCATCGATACAATTGTTGACGGAATATGGATTTAAAACCAAATATTTTTAATTTTTGTAATGGATTTAGTTTGTGAATAAAGTTACTTTGACATAACAGTGACACAAAAAATTATTTATATCTTTAGTAATTTCTTATTTTAAAAGTAACATGATTTGTGAAGTAATAAGATCGGACTGGTGTTAATATGTCAAAATTTATAGCATTCTTTATTGTTATTTATTGATTTATAGAAGAATAGATGAAAATGGAAAAAAAAAAAATGTATACACAGATTTTTTGTTTGGCGAAATGAAAGATGTGACCGAAGAAAAGAATAAATGAGCGCTCGTGTGGCTGTAAAAAGAACTGACTACGCCCCCACCTATCTATTATTAGGGTAACTGTTTCAATTTTATTTTGATCTACAAATGTGTCAAATCATAAATAAAAATCTACCACCTTTGAAAAAGTAACTTACATTGGTTTAATAAAATGCCGTGTCACAATCTATTTTCAAGCAAAAAAGTTGGCTTGCATTTTATTTATCAATCCAACATTACAGAATCAAAGAATCATTTATTTATCTAAAAAAAAAATATCTGNACTGCCGGATTCTGAGAATCCGTTTTTGCCCGAAAAACAAATTCTCATAATCCGTTTTCAGTAGAAAAACGGATTTTGAGAATCTATTTTTCTTAATGATGTAATTAATCTTAATTAATACAGCAAAAAACGATTTACCAAAATCCGTTTTACATAAAACGGATTTTGAAAAACCATTTTTACATATAAAAATAGATTCCGAACATCCGTTTTTATATATATATTATTTTTTTATGTTTTATAAAAATAGATTTTTAAAATCCGTTTTTATGTATTTAATTATTTTTTTTTACAACCCAAATATAGAAAATTTGATTTAATTATTTTACATGGCAATATATCAATCCAAGCTTTACCACAATTTAGTTTGAATGAAAAATATTATCAAATACACTTATCTACTGGAAACGAACCTTATGAATTTGTGAAGGAATAATACCAATTTTTTTATTTATTGAGAAACAAAATCGAGGGAATCATTTAAAAAATGAAACTTAATGCGTATCTACAAAATTCTAATCAGTTTGAAACC